GGGTGAGCTCTCCTTTGCTAAACCAAATTCGACTGCAGAACTACATACTTTTGGGGATACCATTCACCTGATTTTTTTCAGAATCCAGCTTTGCTACTCTACTAACCCAAGATCCGGAAAAGTTTCGTCCCCGTTAAGCTCCTCAACGTACCGCATAGTTTACGGTCGGAACTAACAAATTTTTTTAACGTTGTCTAACATAATGTGTTTGATGAACAAACACTCATACAAGTAAACAAGAAAACAAATGACATTTTTGAAGCTCCCCTTGGGAAATAGGAGAATAGCCTTTTGACGCAAGCAAATGAAACAGCATACCATTTCGGTAACCCGATGAGCCTCTTCGACTGCCTGCTCAGCTTCTTCAACTTTCATTTTTAGAACATCACAGCTCTGAATGAAAATTATTGATTGATTCGAAACTAAGCTATAGAATTTTTCAAGAGAATCCGAGCAAAAGAGCTTTTTCCCTACCGCAGATGCCTTAAGTAGTTCATGACGGAGCTCTTCATTTTCAGAACGTAACTTTTCATTTTCCAACTCCAGTTCTTGGATTCGTTCCTTGTCTCTCTCCTAAATACGTTTCGTTTCTGCTCTATGCATGATACAGTAAAAACCTCGAAGATCTCTAAGCTCCACCTACCTTAGGTATGAGCGGCCGGACAAGGTTAAACACTCGGTACCATGGCCAGTCAGCAAGTTCAGCAAACTTGCGCACATTGTTTTGTATTGTGCGTGTAGCCGTTCTGAATAGAAAAATAATGAAGAAAAAAAAACAACTTCAAATCATTTTCAAGGTCTCAAGAGATTTGCTTTGGACACCACACCAACTTACAATCGCTTCTTCCTCATTTGACAATCTCTCTGCATGTGAATCCAACGAATACGTGCTTGTATGTTGGTGATAATATTGTTGACGTAATCTCTTCTTTTAGCCTCTAGCTGAAGGTTAAAATCCTTATTTTATTGATCTCTACAAAAATCGATTTTTGATCAGATCAACTATTACCTCTGATACAACTCCTATTTTACAAAAGATTTTTGTCTTGCCAATTTGATAACGAAGAGGATCAACACCAGCTGCCACACAGATCTCATCCGCACCACGACCTGAGAAACTCTTCTTCTCATGAAGGTTATAGGATAAAGATGAGCGATCGGTATCATTCAAAACAAAAACTGTATTCGATCGCACCATTTTGAGGAGCTTCCTTGGCGAACATACGATATCTTTGTACGAATTCCGCAAATGAGAGACGTGACGGATAGCCTTCACGGCAGATTCGTATTCCTTCCAAAACGCCGTTACACCTAGAAATTTCATCAGAAGTTAATTCAGAAATTCGGAATTTATAATTGGTAGTTCAGGGTGCGCGTGAAAGCAACGTTTGTCATCGACAGGATTATTATCGATTGAATCGTCGCGTCGCGACCGCGCGCGTTTCATGTTGCTGTCTGCTACACAGTGGGAGAATCAGAACCTAGTTATAGAAAAAATTGAATTGTCGAGACGGTTTTTACAGTTACCACCCAGAAGTATCGTGTTCATGTTTTCCTTCATTTTTATGAAATTCAGAGCAGATACCTCAACTGACTGAGTACAAGGGGTCCGTCGATTTTGTTGGGCACACGTTCATAGTTCGGCACGACACATCGAATGAAATGAGCTGATGACGATGATAATGTCTCCAGAAGGCTGTTTAGTTGATTCTGAAATGGTTTAGAATCAAAACAGCTTGAGTACCCTTGTACTTGAGAGCGCAGCCAAGGGCATTTGTTTATGCCTATTTTTGCCGAAATTTTCGAGCAATTGTTGGAACGCGGCATGTACTTTTCCTAGTCTGAACCGCAAACTCCTTCCACTACCACTTGCAATATCCGCTACCGTTCTTGACGATCTTCTGAGACCCTGCCTTCCTATAATGCCGGAAGAGCACGATTCATTTCTCGATGCTGCGGTTATCATTCATAATGGGTTACAAATGTTACGGCCTATTTGTGAAAATTGTATTGCTTAGAAAATGAACAGGCTTGAATACGTTTGCCCAGTGTTTACAGCTTGGCTTTGAGGGATACATAAAGTCTATGGACACAACTGACCTTGTAGAGGAAGGTAACCGTCGACTGACAAAGCGTACCACGGCGAGATCGAGTCAAATCCGTTGAGACTGAAACGTTATTGATGTAGACATTTTCTAGGCTCACACCATAAAAGTAAGCAGGGGGAATGAATCAAAAATGAGATAAAAACGTGAAAATGTAGTATTTGATGCAGGAAACAAGAGAGAAAGGAGGAATAAATCACTGAATTTGGCCCTCACAAATGCACAAGACAGGTATAGCTTCGGCACCTCAAAAGGTAACTGGTTATTTCCAGTAACAGCCCAAGTAGCAAATTCAGAGGTGTCCGATGGATATAGCACCTGTCAGACCACAAATCATGGTCAACGACTAAAGCTGGTCGTAAAGTGATAAACATTCCTACTAGTAAACGTTCATTAACAAGCGTCGTAAACTCTTGATTGCTTGGCTGGCACCTACTCCTTCTCAGACATGATGGACGTGAGCCCGCAGGATGCGCTGACAATACGTAAACAATATTACAATAGTTGTTATTTGTTTTTGGACATGGCATAGGGTCCTAATTCTGATCTTTATCAATAAATAAATCAGTCAGTTCTTAAGAGATTGCCAGTATGGAAGAAAAAAGGAATCAATTGCTTGGAAATTTCCCGGAATAAGCCACGATCGTCCTCACATCTGTGAGATCGAGGGGGAGGATTGATATACATACATGAGGCTGCACTCACAATCAGAGGAGTTTTTCATGGGTCTTGAATAGTATATGTAGAGTTTAAAGGTTGGTTAAAGACAGTGAGTGAAGTGATGCCATTTTTATCCCCACGGTCAGCTTCTAAAAACCAGGATCTACGCTCGCGAACTCTGAAAGTCCTGAAAGAGAACGCCTCAAGTATCGAACCATGATTTAGGACATTTTCTTGTTGATAAAGTGCCAGATTATGATAACTACCTGGTGGAAAAAGGCTCTTCACAAAAGGCTTTGTTGATTCTCCCATCACCTCTAGTATAGCATTCTCGACGACGTCACGATTCTTTTCCACCCATGAGTCGATATTGTAGTCGACACTACCCGCATAGTGTTTGATCGTGAAATGTCTCACAGATTGACACCTGAAAGTGAAAATAAACAGTAGAAACTCCGAACATGCAAAAAAAGGCTTGTGAATGGATAACTTGACTCTGCTTCCCCTTCTTAGATAAAGTCACATACAGTAGCACTCAAAAATTCTCGGCTTAACGGCCAGACACTTCTTTGACCGTAACTTTTTCTTACCACTAGTGGAGCAAATCACGCGAAATTTCGACATGTTGAAATAAAGTCTATTCTACATTAACCGACTCCATTTGACTGCAAAGGCAGCGATATCCAAACAAATAAAAACAAGGCGTTTGTTGCGGTGGCAAAATTCGCTATAAGCGATGTTAGTGACGTCTACAATTATTCGCACCTTATGGGCGTTTTTCTCCTTCACCGTGTTCGGCATTAGCGCTCGTACTCTTTTGACGGCAAAAAGGAAAAAAAATCGCAGAAGGGCCATCATCTGTATTTCTAGTTAATTTTGATGTCCAGATCTAGGAGGGAGAAAACGAGTTGAAAGTAAGACTGAAGAAGCATTTGGCCGAAGACTTTTGAGTGCTACTGTACTTACCTGACTTACATTCCAGCTCTTCGGCTCCTCATCAACTTGCTAACTGCTAGTTTCCAGTTATCAAACACAAAAAAAGGGTGACCAGACTTAGGTACCTTTGAGATTGCTTTGCTTTCCTAAATTGAGGTGATTTTTCCAGCGTAGTGCAGAGCTTTTGCAGAAGTGACTGATCGGAACCATTGGGAACAACGCATTCTTCTTCTAACAGTGAAAGCAAACCGAGTGGCTGAAAAAGTAATGCTTGTGGACATCCTCCGAAACGTCTGTCTTCAAGGAAGACCGCTTTTCTTGGTACGCTATATACGATCATAGAGCTACGTAACCCTATCACACTACTCATTGGTCGGCTACCAAGGTACATCCGGTCAGCTCCAATCAGAAAGGCGCTGGGCCTATAAGACTTCTCCATTTAACTAAAATGCGGTCATTTCCTCTGCGAGACCGAACAGACATATTTCCCCTTCTACTTGGCTACGTACTCGTCCTAGTTGCTGGGCAGCTAACATGGAATTGAGCAGTGATGCCCTTGAAATTCCCTCTTCAGTAGGTACTAGATGGAATGACCATTTGCTACACTACTGTTCGGATAACGGTGATACTATTAACCCTAATGACATGGGACCTGGAATTCTCTATCGTGGCCGAAGCTTCATTGACGTTGACTTTCTCACCTTCTCAATGATGTCGATAGTTGGCTGCAAGTCAAGTGCGAAATCGCTTTGTATCCATTGAATCCCCTCCTCCAAATATTCGCTTTGTTCCCGTACGAACATAAAGTGATTGAAAAACGCTTGCAGCTTCTCATTCGTGTAGTTTATACATAACTGCTCGAATGAATTTTTCTGGAAATCGGTAATAAGACTGTGGTCAATCAATGATTAACGATCGATAAATATGTTAAGTGTGGCCCTGAATGTGGCTTTTTCTTCATGTTGCATAATATCAATAACTTACCTGTACGATCTCAAAACCAGCGATATCCAGTACTCCAATGAAAGAGCTCATGATCGAATCGGCTACTGAAAACAGGGAGGTTAGCTGGAGGTTCGAATCTTAAGAGCCCTTATGTTGTATGGCATTGTGTGATGATTGAATTGATATTGGGGATCTCGTGTGGTGTAAGATGTTTGATCGGGTGGTCTCACGGATCATTTCCATTGCTCCAGACGCTGAAGAAAGCAGATTCGCCGAAACAAAAGCCAGTAAGGGTTTTTCCCCTCTCAGTATAATCAGTTATGCAGAATCGATGGCTGATTTTACCTCTATAGCGTTCAATACAAAGTAGTTGAGTAAAGGCAACCATAATCAAAGAAAAAGTAAAGAACGCGCTATGCATTTGACTTCCACATGCATCACCTGGCCTTTGAATGAGTACCGGGCAAATTAGTTGGCCTTTTAAGGCGGCTTTACAACATCTCCTACTTTTAGTCGCATCGTTACTCCATCTTCCTCATAAGGCGTTCACCATTACTCCATTCTTTTATGCGCAATTACATCTTTTCAACTACTTTTGAAAGGTATCTTCTTTCTTCAACCAATTTCTTTTCGTTTCTCTCAGTACTTCAGGGCACTAATTTGTGAAAATGAATTTTCTTTATTGACTTATTGTTCTGTCAAACTTTCTGTAGGAATATGCCGTGTACTCGACTCAAATCAAGAACCACAAAATCTCCTGCACCTTTTCCAACGACTCACACTGGGGGCTTCCTTATGGTTTTACAACTTTCACATCCGCTTTGACAAACACCTCATTAACGAAGCGGTTCATAAAAGATGAAACGCTCACTGAAACTGAACTCCCTACACCTCCTTCTCTTTCGAATTGAGTCAACAGAGTGAAAAAGTGTTGCGTATTTTGAGTATCTCCCTTTCGAGTTCCCTGAGATGCTCTCATAAAGAACAAATTCTGCAAAAGAAAAGGGTCTGTGAAGTCTTTCCCTCCAAATTTGTTCTGACTTATATAATAAATCAATGGGAGTATCTCAAAATAGCGCCTTTGTTAAGCAGTAATAGCACTAGCGGTAACAGTTGCCTCCGCTTCTGCTAATGATTGATGGCATCAAAAGTCATTTCGGCTAGACAGCTTTTTATGGACACAAAAAAACCGGCGTTGTATTCGAGGAAAGCAAACACTGAATGGGCAATAACTATCATTGAGTAGGCTTTATGTCGAAAAAGCCTCTAGCAGCTTTGCTGCTTTGATTCATTTCTTTCTATTGTAGAGTCGCTTGCTCTCCCATGTCCAATACCCCCTCAAATACCTCTGCAACTTGCAGCGAACGCTAAATGCATGGCTTAATCCAAACTGAGTTGAGGCATAACAAACTGAACTTCCAAGTGACTCACACATGCTGGTATTGGCACTGATAGCTTCATTGCACTTGCCCAACAGCCATTTGAATATCCTCTCGTAAAGGACTTTTGCAAGTGCGGCGGCGGAGAATATTGACTGGAATGGGTAAGACCATTTCGATGCCATTCACTTTCCCACGTTAATCAATTCGCACCTTTTGCATATTTTGATTCTTCCTGATCACCTTATCACCCACTCGTATACTTGGCTGCGTAAGTGCTTCTACGAGACGAGACGACTTCAATCCAAGCAACGATGTCACCGCGTCGACTTCTGGAACGATTGGATTTCATTCGGGAGGGTGACAGGTATGAGTTTTTCCATATAAGCCTTCAAACGACTGAGTACGATTGAAGGTAAGCCTCTTGAAGTCACGAACGTGCCCAGTCGCCAATATGCGTATGTAGTAAAACTACGAAATCAGAAAAAAATTTAAAAACTGAAAATAAAAATGGTGAAGAACGAAATTGCCTACCAGCTTTTCCATCAACGTAACTCATGTCCAGACCACTGCGTTCCCCGAATTTGATCTCACCAATTAACAGACAGGCCGCTATCGCACTGTATACTTCAAA